AATTGTATTGATTGGACTCGAGTACAAGTGTTGGATACAGGTATATTCATTTTTCCCCAAGTTTTTCCTTGTATTTGAAGGATCCCTGTAGGATCATATCTCTCTATCCGTGTCTAAATATACTTAACGAAAAATGAATGGTCGTGGAGTAGCATAGCATTCCAATGTCGTCAGTTTGTTACCTCTGCTGCAAAAATTTAGGGTTTCTACTGTCCAGACATATCATTCAAGAAACAATCAAATACTTGCATTCTGTATTAACAGCCAGATTATTTTGGGCAAACCTAATAACAAATATACGACCCTAGGGATAAAATGCCATTAAAAAAATGTGTATATATGTCAATATAAACAATTGTAAATGCTTACACAACATAGACATGTCCTCCCCAACCACTCAGACAGTCTCGATCAACTGACGAAAGGAGAGCTTGGGAAACTGTTTCAAACAATTCCTCAGGTTCCTGGATAACAAAACAATGGGCCAACAAAGCATGAATTTGTGTTCCTGACATGAACATTTTGTAGCAAATAACCATAATACTTTTAACTTATGAGTCAGTGCACTGTAACCTTATTTACTTCCAAAAATAGACACCATATCTTAGTTTTTGGATAAAAAGCATTATAAAGAATTATAATTTAAAGTCTCATCACTAATGTGAATGCGTTTTGAATTTGAGCAAAGGGAAATATACATAAAAATAACAAACCATGTCCTCCTTGAACATTGACTCGCAGGCACCATAGAGGGACTCTGATGCAGTGCCGGCTACAACAAAATCTTTTGCAAGCTCCCTGCATTTACAAGGGAAAAAATATAACACTTGTGATAGGAATGTGCTTCAAAAGGCTTTTAGTAACCAAAACAAAGAAAATAAAGAAATCATTATAACCATAAGATTTCAAATAGTATTTTCAGGTAATAATCCAATTCATTGGCAGCCAAGATATAGATAAACACAATATGAGAGTTAATCATAACAAAGATTCTATGGCTACAGTAAAGGTCATTTATTGGTAAAATCATTTAGAAGAGAGATAGTCATGACAAGGAAATGACACATGGAAAATTGTTATATATAGAGTTGGTTCTATCATTATTGAAACTATAAACATGAACATATTAATAAAAAAAACCTTCTATTATTAAAAGAAATTATATAGAGTCGCTGGCTACGGGATTGTTACTTCTTGTTTATCATGTGTGGAAAGAGACAAACTAAAGAATGCATGGAGGGTGTAGTTAACTTTGCTAACATCATGCAATTATAGACCAATATCCCGACCCCCTAGTTTTGACAAATATCAAAGGATATTGCTTGTAAAGACTTGTTTAGGACAAGGTTGGACTTGAAACAATGGGATTCTTATATTGATCAGTGCCCAAATTACTGGTTTTGAACAATAGCGGGTTAGTTCCCACCCCAAAAAATGTTCAAGTTTCAAGTTTTGGAAAAATAACTTATTCTTTTAGTTAAAAGCGTTCAAGTTTATGGTTCTCTCCTAGATGTCACAGGCAACTAGGTGATGTATTTTCAGAGAGTCAGAACTTTGCTTTAATTGGCTTTTGGTTGAGATATGAAATAAGATTTTCATTTCCACAAAGGACATTTGATTAGCAGAACTTCTATTTACCGAGTAGAATTAAAGGGCTAATTTACAAAAACAAGCGTCTTGCTTAGGCAAATACAGCAAGTTAAAAAAAAGAAAATGAAAACAATATTCTAAACAACTATGACAACTTCATGCTTTTTCATTTAAAAAATTACAAGAGAATGAAATCAACTTACTTGGCTCCAATGGAATCCATGGTGCAAATGAAGGGCTTGTCTTCATCTCCTAATCCAGCAATTACAGGTTGGCAGAAGTATGGACCAAACCTATGGAAAAAAGAATACCATAAAACTTATCACTAACACATAAAGGAGTGCACCCTTTTCAAATGTGATTCCCACTACAAATCTAACTTTCCTAGAATTTCTCTCTAGCTTGACATATCATAAAGGAAGGGCTAGAGTTTATTAGTAAAAGAAGAGTCAACCTCTTAGGTTTCAAGGCTAAACATTAAGAACAGGACAGGCCGAGAATATCTTGATGCTCACTTTCTTTATCATAAGATAAGTGGGTAATTTCCCTTCAAGGACATAAAGAAGGCTTTGTCATTCACATGTAAAATTTTCCCCTCCTAAAATGGCATCCAGTATAATTCAAAAGTACGATATATCATATCCGGAGCACAGCTAGTTCATTCATGCAGCCATCTTTAAGAGGTGAAATTAAGGTTTAGAGTTCAAATCCAGACATTTGCAACCCACCCTCTATCCCCAGGGTGCAACCTCTTTTGTACAAAAAGGAAAGTACTGCATTACCACTTCTTAAATAGTTTTACTACCGTAATTCACAGGCTATTCTTGCTTAATCAATTTCTCTCCTAGTACTTTTCCAAAATTAATCAGAATGCCAATTGTCAAACTAATCAAGAGTTAGTACTTGGTTGTATAAAACATAACAAAAACTTTCCATTTCTACCATTAATCTTAAGAATTAAGCTGATAGCCTGAAATGTTAAAACGTGGAAAAAAGAATCTAACTTAGCCATATATTAAAGGGGTGAATTGGGGGGGGGGGTTAAACAAACCTTTTCTCGTAAAGAATAGCAGAAACAAGGTTAGCAAAAGTCTCAGGTTTCATGTCCCTTTCTTCTCTTAGCTGGTACAGCTTGTGCCGAAAGACAAGCCTTTGATACCTTCAATCATTATAAAAAAAAACAAATATCAAGATAAATCATTTTTTTTCTTTTACAAAAAAAAAGGCAAAAGGCATAAAGGAAAAACAAAAGAGAGGGGAGATACAAGGTTTGAGCATCGGTGGCGAGGCCGGAGAGACCGAGAAAGAGGCGATCGTGAATTTTAGAAATCCTTTGGAAATCGGTAGCGATAGTTTGGAGTTGAACTCCGAGTCTCCGATCGCTGGCAATGGCGAAGCAGTTCTTTCCTACCATGGCTACTAGGGCACTCCCATTGTACTCAAAGATCTGCACCATCATCCACCATCAAAACAAATTTAATAAAATTAGGGTTTCAGCAAAGAACAAATTTTTTATAAAAAAAAAATTATTCAGAAGAAAAATGACATACCGACATCGGAGAATTCAGGGGTTTTCGGCTATTTTTTTTAATAAAATTATGACAATAAACTGATTTGATATCAGCAAAAGCGATCTTAAAAGACAGTAAAGATGGCTTGGAGGTCACTCCAGTTTCCGAAGATCCAACCTTCTCATTTTTTTTTAAATAAGGCTTTTACTTTCGGATTCAGTGTTGGGCTTCTCATTTACTGCTATCCCTTAGGCCTCGCCCACTACATATATTGAGCTATTTTTAATCATTTAAGTAAATTCGAATTCACTTTTTTTTTAATTATTACATAATAATTTACCTCCTAATTTTAAGTTAAATAATTAAGAGTTAATTACATAAGATGTCCTCAAAGTATGACTTTTATTTTAAATAGGTCCTTAAACTTTTAAATATTTCAATTTCATCCCTATATTACGACTCAATCTAAATTAGTCCTCAAACTTTTGAACATTTCAATTCATCCCCAAACTATGACCTTCATTCTAAATTAATCTCCAAAGTTTCTAAAAATTTCAATTTCATCCGAAACTATACATATATATATCATGTCCCTTGTTAATAAAATCGTTAGGCCAAATTATATTATTATATGTTTGAAAAAAAAAAATTTACGTTAAATTATGGTTGAAACTAATTACATATTTGAATGAATTTACAGATGAAATTGGAATTTTCAAAAGTTTAGGGACCAATTTAGAAAGAGAGACATATTTTAGGGATAAAATTATGATGTTCAAAAGTTTAAGGACTAATTTAAAATGAGAGTCATAGTTGAGGATCAAATTCAAATCTTTAAAGTGTAAGGATCAATTTAAAATGAGAGTTATAGTGACTTAATAATTAATTATAATCATAATCAATAGTTACCATACATATTTAAAAATCAAAATAGATATTATGATAATCCGTAAATAAAAATTAAAAATGATTGAATGTATAAATTAGACTATTTTTTTAAATGTATATTATTTAAAATTTTAATTTATACATTTGTATGTTGTGTGTTCTATTTAAAATTTAATGTTTAGATTTAAAATTAAAATGTAAGATTTTAAGTTTTAAAATTAAACTAAATCATAAAATAAAATCTAAAATTTACGCAATTTTTATACTAAATAATTATTTTAAATCAACACTTTTATATTTATATTATGAATACAGTTTAAGAATTTATTTAAATACAAAATAAAATAGGGTAAAGTACACCAATGGTCCTACGACTATACGGTGTTACTTTGTTGAGTTTATTGACTATTTAAAGTTACACAATGGTCCCTAATTATACGATATTGCTTTGTTGAGCCCCTGACTATTAAAAGTTACAAAACGACTCTTGACTATTCATATGTTTCATACTCGTCATTTTCAATTAAAAAATAATGTCATTTTGAGTTGAACGTTAACCTATTAATTGAGATATGATAAAATCTGATCACATAATCATTTTAAGTGTATTTTTTGGACCAAATCTTTGTTTACATTATGCCATTGAGATGGTGCATGTCGTCGATCTAGTGCTTAAAAGTAACGACAATGTCAGTAGATATTATTAAAATATAATTTTATTATATCTCAATCATTACGTTATTGTCAAGCTCAAACTACCATCAAATTTTTAATAGCAAACGACGAGTTTGGAACATTTAAATAGTAGTATGACAATTTTGTAAATTTTAACAAAACAATATCATATAATTAAAAGATTATTTTATAAATTTTAATAGTTAAATGACTTAATAAAATAATATCTTTAATCGTGATACCGTTTATATACTTTATCCAATAAAATAATGAAATATATGCATAGGAATCTAAATAAAACAACAGCTGTTTCACCAAAAACCCCCCCCCCCTACCACCACCACCCCCAAAACGAAAAACGCTGAAGTGCGAAAGGGGAGAAGAGAAAGAAAATAGAGAAGCACTCCTTCTATACTAATAATACCACTCTTTACGACTTCACCTCAGCTTCCATTTGCTGTAATTTTAACTCGCAACTTCCTTCCCCATTTCCCACTCTCTCTGTGTAAATTCATCTTTCAATACGTCAAACCAATGCCCGCTTCTTCTTCAGGTAATCTCCCTTGTTATCTTTTTTTCTTCTTCTTCTAAAGTCAGTTTCAGTATCCAATGATAATTCAGTTTAAGTTACCCTTATTACCCATTTCATTATACCTATAATTTTTTTTGGGGTGGGGGATAGATGGTCGAGGTCGATGGAAACGGCGGAAGCGAGAGCGGAGATCGAAGCACCAGTTGGAAGAAAAGGATGTGGTTCTAGAGGAGGAGGAAGAGAATAACAACGATGACATTGAGAACTCCGGGGACGATGTCGGCGTAGCGACTACGCATCTATCTTTGGCGGGTTCCAGCGAGAGTGAAGTCCTTGCCGACGGTAGAGTTCGCATCGCGGAGTTCCCCTCCGTGGTGAAGAGGACGGTGAACCGTCCTCACAGTTCCGTGATGGCGATCGTGTCGTCTGAACGGGCGGGTTTGATTGGGGATAGCAAGGGACATCAGCAGGCTGAGCTGGCGGTTTTGGAGAATGTTTCGCACGGGCAGTTACAGGCGGTTTCGATGGAATCCCCCGATCCGGAGAAGTATGTGTTTACCCCTCCTCCTATAATGGAGGGGCGTGGTGTTGTTAGGAGGTTTGGGAGTAGGGTTCATGCCCTGCCAATGCATTCAGGTTCAATTCTGTTGTCTCATTTATATCTTCATGCTTTAACTTTTGTCTGGTTTTAGTTTTGGCCTGACTATGAAAATTAGTTTTAATCATTAGACTAAGGGTTTATATTAATTGACTGTAAGTTACATTAAGATGTAGAATTGAAGGGTTTGACTTTCTTCATTTCAGCTTGAATATTAAGATGGACTGTTGGAAAGAAGTCTTTTGGGAAAGTGTGTACTCTAAGTTGCTTTTTCTATTTGACTGAGGAACTTTTATATTCAATTTTATGTGAGATGATTACTACCTGGAGTAATCGTTGGTTTGATTTCGACTCTAAGAAAGGTCTTGAATCTTGATCTAGTTCAGACGAGATGTGATCTAAAATAAAACAAAAGTTAAGAAATTTAAACTTGGGTTAGTTCTATTTACATGATGTGCTTCCTGAAATATCTGTAGCCAAAAGAATAAAAACACATATTGCTAAACACCAAGCTTGTCTTGCACCCTCTCTCTTTCTGCTCTAAAATTTTCTTTGTCGTGTTTTAATATTTGGTTGTTTGTGGGTTACCTTGCAAGCAGACTGGTTTTTGCCATCCACCGTGCATCGAATAGAAAGACAAGTTGTGCCACTTTTCTTCTCCGGGAAATCACTAGAACATACGCCAGAGAAATATATTGAATGCAGAAACCAAATTGTTGTCAAATACATGGATAAACCAGAGAAGAGAATTACAGTTTCTGATTGTCAGCGGTTGGTAAATGGTATCAGTGATGAGGATTTAACTCGAATTTTTCGGTTTCTTGATCATTGGGGAATTATCAATTATTGTGCAGCTGCTCCAAGTCATGAGCCATGGAAAGTTGGATCCTACTTCAGGGAGGATTCAAATGGCGAGGTTCATGTTCCATCAGATGCTATAAAGTCTGTTGATAGTTTGATCAAATTTGACAATCCCAAATGTAGGCTTAAGGCAGCAGATGTTTATTCCCCATTGTCATGTCATGATAATGATGCCTCTGACTTGGACAACAGAATACGAGAGCGCTTATCTGAAAACTATTGCAGTTCTTGTTCACAGCCTACTCCCACTTCATATTATCTGTCTCAAAAGGAGGTATGTGACTTTTATGTCCGTCTTAACATTTTTATCTTTCAGGGTAAATCTTATTAGTTCTCCTTTCCATTGGTCATCTGACTGGTTTCTTGCTTCACATGAACGAATTTTACCTTGAAAACCTAATGAAAGGCAGTAATCAAATTTAAATACGACCATTTAATACAACGTACCTCAGATATGTATCTTAAAGCTCCATAATTACCGTTTATGAAAGGATGGTTCTGCAATATTTTATTAGTAGTTTTTTTCCTTTGGTGTTTAGGGAAGGATGATACCATTCTAGATATTGTTAGAGAAGAACTTTTTTTCTTAGGATTTGTTTTCCAGTTTCAATATATCAGCACATTCATTGCCTAGCTCAGACCACCTTTAAGTTTGGGGATCAGACACTTATCTTGATCACTCATCTGAAAGTTCCATAATATTAGGAACACTAGGACCTTTTGCACTAAAAGTTTTCCATAACGTTGTCAAATTTGATATATATTTCTTTTTGCTTTAATCTATACAAAATGGAAGTCATTAAAAATCTATATTTCTTATGTGCTGTGAGGGTATTGGTTGTTTTCTATTTGGTTCTGGTGGTCAAGAAATGAACAATAACAGATTTCTATCTTCACTTGTAGACAATGAAGTTTCTTGCTAGAAGTAAGTACTTTGTTTATGGTAACTAATTCTAGTTCACCATAGGATGCAGTTTCCAAAGATGAGTTATAGATTGCTTGGCTTGGCTTGGCTTGATTAGGTATGGTTTAGTAGCTTTAATACATAAAAGTAAGCCAGATTAATCATGCAAAAGAGTTAGAATTATTACTTGATTTGAAGTGCTCAGAAAATTGAATCACAAGTTGAACATTGGTTTGCTTCCGGTGTAGAAGGGCTAAACTTTGATAAGTGCATCATAGTGAAGCTGAGTTTAAAGTTCTCTTGCATCATTGTGGGAATTCATGAACTTTGTCTTTCAAGATATTGGTTTACCTAAATCTTGATTTTAATAATGTTCATTTGTTTCCTTCAAATAATAATAGCAATGCTCATTTGTTGCTGCTATTGGCTAATTGACAGGTTGATACACTTCTTTGCTCTGATTGCTTCCATGATGGGAGATTTATTTCTGGTCACTCAAGCATAGATTTTGTTAGGGTAGAGTCAACAAAAGATTATGGTGACCTAGATGGAGAAAGTTGGAGTGATCAGGAAACACTATTGCTGCTTGAGGCAATGGAAATTTACAATGACAACTGGAATGAAATAGCTGAGCATGTTCGTACTAAGTCAAAAGCACAGTGCATACTTCATTTTTTACGCCTACCCATGGCTGAGGGCCAATTGGAAGATATGGAAGTCCCTAGCATGCCCAAATCAGTGATTGTTTCAAATGGAGATGGCAGTGGAAGATTGCACTCAAGTATGAACAGGAGACTACCAGGTTTGTTATTTACTTAGGGTCTTTACCCTCTATGGAAATGAAGATATTACGCCTGTAATTTCCCCCCCCCCTTAATTTTTGCATGCCTTTTAGGACCCAACCTTCAAGACGTAGATTCTGAAAGCAGGCTTCCTTTTACAAATTCTGGGAATCCAGTAATGGCTATGGTATGTGGCTAGTTTATTCAGGCACCAAATTACTCTTTCAATCTTTTATTAGCAACTTGAGATTTGTATTATGAATATATTACTGTGGAGAGTGAACATAGAATCAATTATTATTTATTTCTCTAATTGCGCCCTCAATAAACTGCATTAATTAATGAAAATTTCATGTAATCTGCTGCTGCTATCCTGGACAACCATCTTTATTTTTGAAAGAATGAAAGAAGCTGATGAGAATTGAAATGCTTTCTTAACAATTTCCCAAATTGGCCATCTTTATTTTTGGAGAATCTTATTTCATCATTAATGATTTCCAATGCAAGAGAAATCTTCGCCCCAAGAGATGGTGATGAAATTTAAATAAAGATGGATCTAATTGTGTTGGTGGCTTTTTTGTACGTGGCTCTAATTAGTGGGAAATAATCCAGGTTGCTTTTCTGGCCTCTGCTGTTGGGCCCAGAGTTGCTGCAGTTTGTGCCCATGCGTCCTTGGCAACTTTGTCTGAAGGTGAAAACACAGCAAAGCATCGTTCATTTGATCAAAACGAGGCAGAGGTTCATCCACTACCAGAAGAAAAGGTTAAAGCTGCTGCCAAAGCTGGTCTTGCAGCTGCATCTATGAAGGCAAAACTATTTGCAGATCATGAGGAACGAGAAATTCAAAGATTGTCAGCTAATATCATAAACCATCAGGTATGTCTTTTGTATTTTCCACATTGATCTTCTTTCTGTCATGTATTCCTGGAAATATGGTGAACAATTGTTGCTGGGAAATGATTTGACCCTCAAATAAGACTTGAAAGCAGGGCCACTGAGTACTTATCGTGTTATATAACTGCATGACATTATTCATCCTAAATAGTGGTGGAACAAAAGAAAAGCCAAAAGGGCATGTCTTTTTTGCTGAAACTTTATGAGCTTAGATATGCCTTAAATGTGGAAGATTCACGGAGAAGTTCGACACACATCTGCAAATCCTCTTTGGGTTCTGCTTCTAAATTGAAATTTACATGTATCTTTAGCTCTTGATTCACATATCTGTTATGCCAATGAGTATACAGGTGTTTCGGCTGGTAGATTGATAGTTTTCTGTGTCTTCTTTTTGTAATCGTTCATACTGATTTGTATTGTATATAAACTTATTTTCAATCTTTATCTCAGTTGAAGAGATTGGAGCTGAAGCTGAAGCAGTTTACAGAAATAGAAACCTTACTCATGAAAGAATGTGAACAAGTGGAGAAAACAAGGCAAAGGTTTACTGCTGAGAGGACCCGAATTGTAGCGACACGATTTGGGCCTGCCGGGGTCACTTCACAAATGAGTCAAACAGGTGTTGCTTCTCCTATGGCTAACAATAACATCAGCAACAACGGGCAACAGGTATTGTCATCCTCACCTTCATATCCAAGCATTTCTGGATATGGCAACCAATCCGTACATCCCCATCTGTCTTTCATGCAACATCAACAGATGCTTCCAATGGGCCCAAGGTTGCCGCTTACAGCCATGCAGGCATCCACTTCGGCTTCTCCGAATACCATGTTTAACTCCCTGGGGAATACGCAACCAACTATTAACCATCCTCTAATGAGGTCAGTCTCTCGGACTAGCTTTTAGGATCGAATTTCATTGGCATTGTTTCTATGTTTGTGCATTTAGAAGAGGACAGGTAGCCTGGATAAACAGAGGAAGCCTACCTATTGCAGCTTCTACACGTAGAAGTTACCTGAACCAATGTTTAGGGTTTGTAACATCATGCAAGTTAAGGTAGCATTTGGATTTAATCGTGAACTTGTCTTATAATTTTTTTAACAATCTGGGCAAGTACCAAAGAAATACAAAGATTTGATGCACAAAACCATGTACAATACTCCAGTACACATAATTGTATGCTTGATGTTATGCTTAGAATCATACACAGGGATGGACATAAGAGGCTTGCGAAATCCCTGATCATGCACCGCATTGACGCTCGGCAAATCCCACTGTGGTGCCGTGGCCGGGCATTTTATTGAGCCAATGACAATCCTCAAGCACAATGGCTCCTCTTCGGCCACTCCACGACATCCGGATTGATGTGAAATGGGGCCCATGAAGAGGTCCCATCTTCGTAAGGGCTGTGGGTCAGCCTCTTCAAATCAGAGCCGTCTAATTTGATCGTGTATACCTCACCATATGGACCAAAATTATGTGGGTTTGAGATTGGCTCGGATGATATTCCTGCATAATCTGTTGTAAATGTTATCATCTTTCCATCCGGACTGAATGACGGGTGCATGATCCGACCGGATGACCCACTATTGATAAACTTCCTTAATCTGGTACCGTTCGGGTTGATTAGGTACATCTCAAAACTATCAGGACCCGGGATATGTTGATCCGAAGAAAAAGCGATCCAATCATCGTTCGGTGACCAATTAGCCATTGTATCAGTCCATGGACCATTCGTTAATCTTTCGATCCAGCCCTTTTCTCCTTCGATTGCATCCATTATATATAAGTTTTTGTGTCCTGGTCGACCTGATCTGAAAACAATTCGTTTCCCATATGGTGAAGGTGAGGGAAATACATTATTTTTACCATCATTGGTCAAACTTTTATAATTTGAGCGGCTAACTGCGTCAACGTCGACGGCTATAATATGAACTTCAGTATTCACACTTGAAAACAACTTCTGTAAAATTCATGGAAGATGTAACATCTTTTGCGAAGATGTAATTTTTGGGTCATTGGAGAGGGGGAGTGGGAGTAGGTGTACCAATTTTATTTTTTTTATTATGCGATTATTAACATGATGTTGATGTTTAAAACCTTATATTATTTTGGAATATTTTAAATTTAACATTTTTAATTTAAACTATAAATATTTATATCTATATTATCTATTGAATCTGATTTTTATATTATTTTAATATATTCATTACATTATCAAAATGATTAAAAATAAAAATATCAAACTTAAGAATTAGTATTAATAAAAAATTAAATTGAATAAAACTATTAATCTTAAAACTACAAATAACTTTATTCCCTATTAAAACAGAGATTTTCAAAATAAATAAAATCATAATAACTTGAACAAGCAAATGCAATACATGGCTACAAATTATTAATCATGACCCTAAATAATCTCATAATATTTTTTTATTCGCACATAGAATGCAAATTTTTGAGGTTAGGCAGTTTATTAATTAAATTTTAAACGTTTTGTCTATATTATAATTAATATGAATGAAACAAATAACTTTAGTAATTTAAAAATAATTATTATCTCTAAAGATTTTAAATTCAAACAAAATATTTATAGAGGCATTTAAATATTTATTTTCTAATATATATACATAAAAATTTTAACATATTTATTAAAGTACCTAACCTCTATTATAATGCTTTGTTTTATCAAAAACTGTACTCAATTACAAATTTAAAACAACGGCTAAAAGATATACTCAAGTAAATCTAATTTCGAGTAGTTACGTCTCCGAGATATACCGTTAATGACTAAAAGTTATTCTCACCATACACATTTACTATGCTCTTTAATAGTATGCTTGTGAATCATGCACCGCATCGAGGTTGGGCTAGCCCTGATGGTTCCACTCTGGTGGTGCCACGGCCTGGCATTTTATTCAGAAAATGGCAATCCTCAAAAGCACATTGGACTCTCTTAGGCGACTCCACGTCATCAGGGTTGATGTAAAATGGGGCCCACGAAGGGGTCCCATCTTCATATGAATTATGGGTCAGCCTTTGTAGACCCGAACCGTCCGGTTTGATAACGTATATCTCACCATATGGTTGATATTGATGTGGGTTCGAGATTGGCTCAGCAGATATTCCCCCATAATCCGTCGTAAATACTATTAACTTTCCATCTGGACTAAACCATGGGTGGTTGGTCCGACCGGATGACGTGCTACTAATTAATTTTCTCAACCCGGTACCGTTCGGGTGAATTAAATATATCTCAAAACTACCTGAACCTGGATTGTGTCGGTCCGAAGCAAATGCGATCAAGTCACCATCCGGAGACCAATTACACATTGTATCTGTCCATGGACCATCCGTCAATCTTTGAAGCCCACTCTTCTCCCCTTCGATCGCATCCATTATGTATAAGTTCTTGTGACCTGATCGTCCCGACCTGAACACGATCTGTTTTCCATCCGGTGACGGTGAGGGAAATGCATTGTTTTTACCGTCTATCGTCAACTTTTTATAATTCGGTTGTTCAACGGAATCAACATTGATAGCTATGATATCGACTTCCGTACTCTCACTTGAAAACGTCGGACCGGCACTTGTGTATACGATTCCCTTCCGGACCGGATCCCATGCGGTTGCAAAAGCTGTCCAGGAGAAAACTTTTCTCATGTTCGAACCGTCCCGGTTAGCAATATTAATACCGGGGAAGTCCGCATAGGCTATTCGATCACCCGCAGGTGAGAAAGTAGGGAATGAACCACCAGCTCTGAAAATAGAGAGATTTGGCACTGGGCTTTTAACATTTTCAAGCAATAATAAAGTTCTTCCACCATTGTTTTCTCCCCTGCACTTATGGTACCCAACTAGGGCCGAGTCAGGTGATATAAACGGGTTCAAGTGATGGGTTGTAGGAGAAACATGTCGAGTTAGCTCAATAAACTCGTTTTTAACAGTGTCTAACAGTTCTATGTGACGAAAAATTGAATTGGGTCTTCTTGTAGCTACTGCTATGAACTTATGGTTACCTGGGGAAGTAGCTGGGGTGAAAGCGTGGAGACCCGGTGGTGTGACTCGTTGAATTGTCACTGAGTTGGTGGAAATCAGTTTATCGTTAGGAAAAGTTGCTTTATAAACACTAACCCATTGGTCTTCACTTTTCTTGTGGAAATACAGAGTCGAGTCATCAACCCAACACGGCCACCCACCGTGTTCAACAACCTTGACTCGGTTAGTCCCATCACGAGTCAAGAAAACATAAATATCAGTACTCAGTTCTTCAACTTCTCCAACCCAACCATCTCTTCCATATGAAGCCACAGCTGTCCAAACCCCAGATGGAGACACAGCGGGGCTAAAATCGGCTACTCCATAAGGTGTGAGTCGTCGAGTCAACCCGGTCCTCAAATTAGTAGAGTACACAGCAGCCCAACTCGTCCTGGGTTCACTCGGGTCCTCATGAGTTGACACGTAAATCAAATTCTCCCCACTCAAACTCGGCCTATCTTTCATCGAAACCCGATTCTTGCTTTCTTCTAAACCCAACAAAGGAGCCTGAACTCGGACGGGAACTTCAAGCGCCGATCTCAATCTAATACTCTGCGGCGCACTGTAATAAAGCGCATCATAGTAAACATTAGGCACCCCGTCGCGCTCTGTCACATAGATGAGCTGGAGCGCCGGCCCTGGAGCTTTCGGGTTTTGAATGAGGCTTCGGTTGAGCAAAAGAGAGAGAATAGAGGACGATGAGGTGGACGGGAAGTGACCGTTGAAGTTAACGGATTGGCCGTCGGTAACCCGAAGTTCATTAGAAGGATTAGGTGGACCGGAAGTTGGGAGCGTAAAGATATCCCAAGCATAATTTGTTCGACCATATGTAGCGAAAACGATGCTACCACTAGTGATCGGAGATTGGTGCTCCGTCGCCGCCGTACATAGAAGGAAGAGATGGAGAAGAAAGGAGATGAGAAACATTTGTGTTTTCATGGTGGTGTTTCACTGGACGAGAGATGCCCGTTACAATCGAATTTAAGGGGTATTTTTTTATTACTTTTCTCCTTATATGTGGTAAGGGATGACGTGAATTGATAAACCTGTGGACCCCGATTTTAATATATCATTGACGCGTGGCAGTAGAATAAACGGTTAGATTACATTTGTAGCAATCATTATTTTATTTGAGGTCCTTTAGATTTCGAGACTTTTGTCGATGGTTGTAGTCAATATTTATCTAGAACAGAGCCCGTTCGATTTGATTGCCAATTCACATGATGTTGACGTTTAAAACATTATCTAAAATATATTTTAAAATAAATTACAACTATCCTATTTAAAAAATAAATAATTGAAAATAACAGTTTTATATATTGGATCTTAAACTATTCCAAAATCTCAATTTGTTCGTTGTCACTCGAGTTAGAATTGAGTGATTTAAATTTATTATACAACAATCACGATATATATATATAAAGTTGTTTATTTTTTATTCTTTTATATTTTTTATTAATCGAGTGATATTTATATATATATATATAATAAAAAATTATTCAACAAAATATATTTAGAACTTGTTAAATATAGACTTAACAAAATAATGTCATATAATCGGAGAATTATTTTATAACTTCTAATAATCAAAGATTCAACAAAACAACATTTTACAGTTGAGGATAATTTTTGTACTTCATCCTATATAAAATTATGATTTCTCGTCTATATTTGGTAGCCAAATTTAAAATTAAACTTAAATTTTAAATTTTAAAGTGTTTGATTGTCTGAACGGGGAAGAACTTAGGGGCAGTTTGTTTGGCTCTGAATAGAACCATTCAACGTTGAATGTTGAACCGTTCAGCATTCAGCGCGTTTGTTTCGTACCTCTGAATGATTCAGTGTTGACTGATTCAGCAAAACAATGTTGAATGATTCATCATCAAAATACATTCTGAATGATTCAGAGCCATTATCAAACAACATGTCACATTCAGAGTAAATTCATACATAGCATTTGAATCATTCAGCATTTGGATCATTCAGTGCTTAATCGTTCTGAAGTAAACAAACAACCCCGTAGTTTAAGACTAGTATTGATACTTATTGAACAAGTCTCTAGACTTTTAAATGATAATCAAATTTTATTTATTAGCCTTTTGTTTTGAATTTTTATTTAAATATATTTCAATAAAAATTACATTTTTAATTGAGATGTATTTAAAATTAATTTTTAACATATTATTTATTTTTATCACGTAATGTAAAATCTCTTCTTAAAAGAAGTGTCTTCATTATTATTAACGAGGATATCACACCGAAAGAATGTATGTTTCTTGAAAAGTGCATTTGATAACTTTCCAAAAGAATTATCATTGTCTTTTTAATTAGGTTAAGCTTGCATTTTAGCGTTTTTAAGATTATGTTTAGATTATTTTTAGCATACTTTGAATGATTTGCTTATTGGGAACGAGTTGGTAGTTTTGAGTTAACTTTGATATATTTTGATGTGGTATTATTGCTATGATGCTGTGACATTGGTTAATGTTGCAAAGGTTATTTTGAGTAGTTGTGAGACTTGATTGCTAAACAATTGTTGTAGCAACCGATGACTCAACAAACAATTAGAAGGAACCTTCTAAGACGACCATTTGTCCAATTTGAATATTATCAAGGCTGAAAATTGAAGGAAAAATAGAAAAAAAAAATCCTATCGGAGGGTGCCTTGACTTTTGTGACCTATAAAAGGAACACATACTCACACTTTTGGCACATTCTTCTACACATTCCCTTCTTCCTTGAAATTTACCTAGTCTTTATATTTTCTTCAACTGCCAGTAGCCATGGCAGCTTGAGTATCTTGGGAAGACAGCGCAAGGACTTAGTAGAGAGTTGAACTTGAGAGAGGTGACCTATCGTTGATTGAGCGTTGAACACATTTGCAGTGTTTTTCAAGAACAATGTCGCTATTTACATAATCAATAGTAACATTTGTGATAAAAAAATTGCCACTACGTATCACAACATAGCGACATTTGGGGAAATAAACGTTACTAAAGACAAGCTAATTCGCGGCGTTAGAGTTTAGACAACAAACATCGTTAGATATCACAATAATCAACAGTG